TGCCACTGCAACAGGGATAGGAAACAAAGATAGGAAATAGGTTGGATGATTAGAAAGCGTGGATTTGATGAGAGTAAGACGGCCTCCTTTTAACAAAAAAATAAGAGCCGTGTGTTTGGGGGTGGGGGGTGGTTCCAACTAACAGGGGATTCCCTGCCTCGATTTTCCATATTTAGTCTTTTGATTCTTCATTTTTTATGCTCATACATCCCCTTTTTCCTTTTGGCATCCTTTCAGGCTCTCAATTTTTCTGTCCGGTTTTTAGATTTCTACTCAAGCTTATATGGTTCTGTTTCACTTTTAGATATGCTTCAATAGTGCCCAACATTTGACAAGATAAACCAGAAAAATCGGAAAAAGGGAAATCTAATTATTTTTTAGAGTGCTGTATATTTAGGATGAAAACATAATCCAAAACCTCGGCTAATTCACTACTAGTAAGGAAGAAAACATTAATGCTTCGCTATTCTTAACACATACGCCAAAAATTTACTAGAAATATGCTATTTGTACATAATGTGGCGTCCATACCGATGCCCACCCCCTCACATGGAAGGGGGTCCACTTCGGATATATTATTTTTATTTGAAGTGGATCCGCCTCCAGGTGAGAGGGTGAACACTATTATGGACATCGCATTATGTACGTGTAGCATCACCCAATTTACTAATCTACATAACAACCTGAGTAACATTATTAGCGTGATTTTTCAGTGAAAATTATACCCATGCTAAAATGATTCCCTCATTATCTTATATCTAGCAAAACTGCACCTTCCCTCTGAAGGAAAGGCACGAGCAAGATTCATACCCCCATGTAATTTTGCTTGCACAAGATAATATGAACATTTTGCACAAGATAAATTGAGCATAAAAAACATTTGTTTCATCTAATTTCCCAATATAATTGAAAATAGCATCTCAGCATAGCAAAAACAATCACAGCCAAGCCAAACTATAGGTCAAAATAATTTGAGCTCATTGACACAAATATTTCTATGCCAATCCAACTCTATTCGGTTCATTTCTACAATAAATTATACCAATCCCCAGTTAAATTAACATTTAATTTATCAATCACAAATACAATCTTGAATACTAAATTTGAATAAGTCTCCACGTTTACATCTAAGCCGTTTAGATAAGGTGGTTCGACGAGTCGAGTCATTGTGCACACACAATTTAACGGTTCAAGCACTCAAAAATAAACCTGAGCCGGAGTTATGGCATTGGACTCATGGGACTTGACAAGTTGATCATACTGTAGCTTAATCTTCCTCTGAGTTGCACTGGAAGACTTCGTAAACGGGTACAAACAAACCAACTCGTCCACCTCTTTTTTCGCCTCGTCGTCCGGGTCGGGTCTCTTCTTCTTGGCCCGTTTCTTCTTCCTTTTCTTCTCCTCCTGACCCGACCCGCTCTTATCCTCGCAAATTTCATTTTCACCACTGAAAAGGTTGTCCCATTTCGCAGAACTGGAAGGCAAGATCTCTAGAAGAAGTGAACTGGTCAAATTCACTGGGTCGGGTTCATGGGTACTATTATTTTTATCAACTTCACTGTTATTTACATGTAAAGATGGGATTTTTTGAGCTTGTCCATGTATTTGGTGTGCGTTTTTGTGGTTACTATTCCTGATGTTCTTGAAAGTGTAGAGAGAGAATATTAGAATGAAGAGGGAGAGAAAAAGAATGAAAAATGAAAACAAGAGAGGGAACATTTGTGACGATGAATAATTCGAAGAAGAAGAAGAAGAAGAAGAAGAAGAGTATATGATAGGAAGAAGAAAAGGGTTCGCCGCCATGGAAATGGAACATTCAGAGAGAGAAAAAACTGTCACCTGAAAGGAGGAAATAGGAGGAAATGACCTTCTTATTCATGTGTAATTCCAAAATG